GCCTTAAGTTTCAAGGAAATATCCTTACCAGTTCAAAACTGCTTTTCTTAAAACCATCAGCTGAACTTGCTATTGTAAGTAGTTAAATTACTTATGATATTGTGTGATCAATGAAATGTTGGGGGAAAAGGAACTGAAGATAACTGTAGACAGCAGAGATAGTGTAATAAGAGAGTGCAATAGGGCAGAGGGTCAGACATGGGGTAAAAAACATATATATATATATGAAAGTAGTAATAGAATTTTATGGATGATAACATGCATGATTAAGCCACTATCCAGTTCATTCCAGATGGGAAACCACATTTAGTATGTTGTGATGATGCTCAGGGAATGAATGTAAATTAATAAAAAATTTTTTTTCAGAAGAAAAAAAAGGCATTAAAAATACATATCTGATGACTGCAGTAAGCTATATAGCCCTAGGTAGGTGCTACTTTATAGTATGTTCATTCTATTCACTGAGGTTTATGCCTAAAGTCAGACTTGTGTTCATGGATATGCATACTTCCGCTGTGCTTGCTATTGAAAATATTTAGATTTATTAAGATATTTAGGGAAACAGTAAAATGGGGGAGGCAGAGAAAGCAATAATAGATATCAGACACAATGTGGGAGGAGGGTGGGAGATGGCAGAGAGTGAGATAGGGAATCAAGGATGGGAAAAAGGCAAAATATACAGAAAACAAGAAATGGAAAATTATGTGTTGACAATAACACATATGTTGATGTGCTTGATTGAGCCAATATACAGTGTACTGTGAATAGAAAAATCTCATTTTATATGCTATAATGATGTACAGTGAATGAATGTAAATAAATAAATAAAAATAAATAAATAAATAAAAAGAGTCCGCATTCTTTTTTGTGGAACAGATGCTTTTAGTTTTCCTTCTTTTTTTTTTGAGAGGTTTTCGCTATAGGGTGCGTGCGCTCACCAGACAGACAGAGAGAGACATAGAGACAGAAAGCAAGAAATCACCCCCCCAGAGGGGATGGTCACGCCACAATCCCTTCTCCTCCATTCTCCTCTTGGGATCTTGGGCACACACGCACACGCGCCCAGCGTGAGTT